CTCCTCCTCCTCCTCCTCCTCCTCCTCCTCCTCCTCCTCCTCCTCCCCCCCTCCGTCTCCTCTTTCCCCACCTCTCCTCCTCCGCCTCCTTCCGCCTCCTCCCTCCCCCTCCCTTCCTCGCCGCTCTCCTGGCCGCCCCCCTCCTGGCCGCCTCCTCCCTCCTCTGTCTCTCCTCCCTCCCCAGCCAACTGAAGGACAGCCTCCCCGTGGAGAGAGGTGTGCCGATTCCGCGACCTCCAGGTTTGGGCGTGCGCTGCGCCGCGCATGCTTACTTGACGGCCCTCCTTGCGCCCAGGGTCATAGTGCTGTTTTTCGACCTCCACGGTGATGCTGGGGGCGGGGGGCGGGCGGTGCCTCGAGGGCGGCATCGATGGCAAATTCCTTCCCAGCGAGTCCTCTCCCCCCTTTTCCCTCTTCCCGACTGCCCTCGATATCACCTGCTCGCATCATGCCGCGGGCGCTTCGCTGCGTGTGGCCGCGCCCCAGGCCCGTGCGTTCGCCCCCTCGGGGCCACGGCGGCGGGAGCTGCCCCCCCCCCCCCGAGTCTCCTCCTCCCTCCCACCTGCTCCTGCTCGTCCTCCTGCTCTTCCTGATCCTTCTCTCCTCCTCCTCCTCCTCCTCCTCCTCCACCTCCTCCTCCTTGTCCTCCCCCTCGTCCTCCTCCTCCTCCTCCGCCTCCTCCTCCGCCTCCTCCTCCTCCCTGAGGCGAAAAAAAACAAGGAAGGATGATAGGGGAAACGGTGGGGAGGCAATGGGACGCGATGGGGCAGGATGGGAGGACGGGGTGCGGATGAGAGGGAGAGGTCGGAGGAGCGGGACAGAGTTGGCAAGAGATCGGTTCTTCCTCAAACCCTTTGAGGGCTGCAAGCCCGCCATACCCATCCAGTGTGGAGCTCCCCCCCACAGTGGTCCTTTCGATCCCTCCGATTTGAATCGAGCTCGACGGTTCCCGATTCCGATTCGACTCGATTTTGAGCAGCTGCTAAGTCATTCGGCGATCACTACCCCCCCCGCTCAGGCCTGGAGCCTGGCGTGTCTGCTGGACGCGCTGCACACAGGCCCGCCGGGGGCGGATCGCAGCAGATCATGTGCCCTCGCAAGTCCGTCTTGAGAGCCCGCTGGCGTCGATTAGCGTCTAGTCATCGACGAGATAGCGCCGATGTAGCGCCGGCCAGCGTCGATCTATCGTGGATCAGCGTCGATTCGCAGGGGCCAACTTCAAGATGATATTAGAGGCTCCCATGAATTGCCACAGAAGGCAGGGAACATCTCGCGGGCGCCTGCCACGGCGGCGCTTGGAGGAGGAAGCGTCGCCGATGCCGCTACCATGGCCTCTTTTTCGTGTCTTTTTGTGGCGTCCTGGGAGGCTGTCGTGGCCACCGCTGGGTTCGCCTTGAATTTCTGCTCAGAGCGCTCCCCGTGAAAATTTCGGAGAGCAGCGGTATCGGTATCTGTTGGTTTCCCCAGAAGCCACTTGGGCAGAATACAGCCAAGCCGCCGACATTAAAATCACTCTGGGCTCAGGCAGGGGCGGAGTAGAGAACCAAACAACGGCATGACCATCACTGCTCGGACCTCCGCGCGGATTTCTTGTATCGGCGCTGGCCCCCCCCCCTGGCGGCGCTCCTGGTGCCGCCCCAGGCGCGATCCGTGCGCCAGGGAGGGGGGGCCCAGCGCCGATCCGAGAAATCCGCGCGGGCCTCCGGCACGTGATGTTTCTGCCGCTTCCTGTTCGTTTGAGTTCGGGGCCCCCAAACGGGGTGGTGACCACACCGTGTGGTGAGTCGGTGGGGGCTCGGGGTCGCCGCACGGTTCTGGGACTCGGGTCGTTCTCCGAGGATGTCTCGGGCGGCTGGGGCCTCCGAGGTCCCGAGACCGTACGCTGACGGACCGTGCGGTGAGGCCTGGGGGGATTTCGAGGTCACCGCACGGTCTGTCACCGCACCGCTTCGGGACTCCGAACTACTGATGCAGGGAACACACCATCGGAGGTTTATAGACCTCCTGCCCCGACACGTCGATTAGTGAATCGGCCGTCTTCGGTCCGCGAGAGGGCGTCGCGGCCGTCACTTTTGCGTGTTCAGGTTCGTCGGTTTCGGGTCCTAGGCCGTTGTCACTACATTCAGAGCGTGAATTACCTACCCCGCTTTCGCTTCCAGACAAAACCAAGCCATACCACGCGCCTCCTCGTCAAGCGGCCTGACCAGTACAGGCTGCAATTTGGCATCGTTTGGTATCTCTTGGAAGCGAGGGTGGTCAAAAGCGAGGTCGGTTTGTTTTCCCCCTATACATGGAGATTTACTAAAGGGAGGTTTGCCCACCGCCGACCAAAAAGCATTCTGGGTTCAGGCAGCGGGTGCACACGGCAGGCGTCCCTGGCAGCCACGCCGCCCAGCCTCCCTCCTCTTCCTCGTCGGGTTCCCCTTCTGGACCGAGCTGTGCTCGTGTTGGTGCACAAGCCCCGCTCTTGCATTAGGTCGGGCCTGTCCCTCCACAGGAGGAATTAATCAAACATAATCAAAAACTAGTATGGAGACGATTTGTTTGACTGTCTTTTTTCAATATGTTTTGATTTTTGTTCGTCCAAAATCCCTTAGTAGGGGGACAGGCCCGACCTAACTTTTGCATGCTGGCCAATTCGCATGTCGGTTGCCCCAGATCGCTTCTCGCTGGTGCGGATTACCTCTGCATCGCCGCCGACGAACAAAAAGCGGTTGCACGGGCCAGGGTTTCGCGCATGGGTTTGCCTACTAATGTAGGCGGGGTCTCCTGGCTGCGGGTTTACTTGGTGCATTTTTGGGGCACCCTCTTCCTAGGCCTCCCACATGGGTCCGAGTAGATGGGGTCGGAGGATCGCGCCGCATCGCCAACGCATCGGCGATGCAGCTCGATGTGGAGCCCACCTTTCGCCACGCCGACGGCACCAATGCGTCGCCGATGTCGCCGATACATCGCCAATGCACCGCCGATTCATCGCCGATGCATCGGCGATGCGGCGCGATCCTCTTGTCCCATCTACTCCGACCCTATCTGGGAGGCCTCTAATCGTTCATTGGGGAGTGCGCTCGTGATGAAAACTTGGCTTTGGAGGGATTATGCTTTTTTTCGGGCCGTTCCCGAGAGTCTGGTCGGGGAGCCTCTTCCTGGCCGAGGCTTGCCCTGACCAGAAGAGCCTCATATCGTTCCTGAGTTCGGTCTCTGTGCGGCAGCACGGTGGCTGTAGTTGGGGGAGGAGGATGAGGACGAGGAGGAGGAGGAGGACGAGGAGGAGGATGAGAAGGAGGAGGAGGAGGAGAAGGAGAAGGGGGGAGAGGAGGCGGATGCGGAGGAGGGGAAAGAGGGGGAGGAGGACGAGCAGGAGAAGGAGGAGGAGGAGGAGAAGCAGGAGGAGGAGGAGGAGGAGGAGGAGGGGGAGGAGGAGGAGGAGGAAGAGGAGGAGGAGGAGGAGGAAGAGGGAAGAGAGGGAGGTGAGGGAAGAGAGGGAGGTGGAACCTCCCTTCTCCTTCAAATCCACCGTTGGGCAGGCCGCGTCTCAGGACCCATCGACCTTCCTCATCGGACCCGAGCCGAGCCGGGAAGGAGGGATCTAGTGTCGTCGAAGATACACCCCTAACCGTAATAGCACGATGAAGGCGCGGCCTCACTGAGGTCCCCGTCTTTGCATCGGGGATAACAGATCTGGGCGGTTTGGCTCGATACGTCTGCAGACAAAAAGACCCCCTGCCCCTAATGTTCTTGGCCCTCCTGACTCAGGCCCCCTCCCAAGGGGTGAGGAGTTCTTTTGTTGCCTAGCATTCTGGCCCGCAAAACAAACGGGCACGGGCATAGGCCCAGGGGGGAACGCAGCGACCCCCAAACGCCCATTCATCGCCGATAGGGGCCGGATCGCCCACCTCGCCCAGGAAAGTAAACGGATTCTCCGAGTCATCGCCGATCAATCGGTGGTTTTCTTTTGTCGTGGAAACGTAAGACTCGAGTAAGCCGGAACTCGGGTTAGCCGACTTATCTTTGACGAGCGCATCCTGGATTTTGACGGTCCCGTTCTCTTGGGATGTCTGCAGCGGGGGCCCGCGTCAAATTTCAGATTGGGGTCTCCCGTACCCGAGTCTTACGTCTCCCCGATTTCGGTTAACCGTCGTGCTTCCCAAGCGGTTCTTCTTCGATGTCGAGAGGGCGTCGCGGCTGCCATTTTTGCGGGTCCTGGTCCGTCGGGTTCGGCCCTAGGTCGTTTTCACTGAACGGTGGTTTGCTAGAGGGAGGTTTGCCCACCGCCGACGTTTGGTTAACCGTCGTGCTTCCCAAAAGCGGTTCTTCTTCGCTACCGGCCTCTCGGAGCCCGCTCAGGGCCTCGGGGCCGTCGCTCCCTCCGGGGGGTGGTTCCCTGGGAGGGGTCCAGAGGGCTCGGCGTCGTGCGGGCCTGCTGTCAAGAGGGCAGAAGGCAAGCGGCGTAGACCCTGTGACTGGGAATCTCGCGTGGCCCGTGCGCGGGACCCGCGGCGCTGCTGCTGCCAACGGTGTTTGGGCGGTGCTCGGCACCGGCGCGGCGCGGTGGCTTCCCGACGCCGCTGCGGGGTCTTCGTGATAGCGAGCCGAGGCTGCGCTGGGCAGGTGCTTGAATTTCCATCGCCGTCGTGCCGTAGGTGGGTCGGTGTCGTTTCGTTTCTGGTCCAGGATGAAGAAGAAAGTCTCGCGACGATCCAAACAGTAGAGACGACTCTCACTGACACGGGTGCCAGAGGAGGTGCGAGCTATAGCCTTGCACGAATTCGAGTCGTATTGCTCCGTGTGTGATATGCGGTTCTGTTCAGTGGGGTCTCGGCAAACGGCTCGGGCATGCATGATGGTTTGCATGTTGCGTGGTCGAGAAAGAAGATGCTACCATTTGCCTTCTAACCGTTCGAGCCGTTTCTCTCAGTACGCCTCCTCCCCCTGAGCTCTCGACCTCTGGGTTTCAGTCCAGATGTTTCTGCTGATCACCTTGGGCTGGAAGGTGGTTGGCCGCTGGCCTATAGGTGCCCCAGCCGGGACACTGCCCGCCGCGATGCCTGCGTGACGCCAGAGGTCCGGGCCGCGGTGGTGGCTTCGGCCCTCAGCCCGAGTCCGCCCCTGGTGTCCCCGTCCGAGTCTGCCCTAGTCCTCGCCATGCTCCCCCTACCCGCTTCTCATCCTTCCAGGATCCCGCGTGCCGCCAGCCACGCCGTCGCTGGCGTCGCGAGGATCGAGGCGGGGGGAGGAGGAGGAGGAGGAGGAGGAGGAGGAGGAGGAGGAGGAGGAGGAGGAGGAGAAGGAGGAGGAGGCGGGGAGGAAGAGGAAAGGGAGATGAGGGGAGAGGAGAAAGAGGAGGAGGAGGAGGAGAGGAGGAGGAGGAACGAGGAGGAGGAGAGGGGAGGAAAAGGAAGGAGAAGGAGGAGGAGGAGGAAGGAGAGAAGAGAGAGGAGGAGGAGGAGGAGGAGGAGGAGGAGGAGGAGGAGGAGGTGGAGGAGGAGGAGGAGGAGGAGGAGAATAATGAGGAGGTAGAAGGTAGGAGGAGGAGGCGGAGGAGGAGGAGGAGGAGGAGGAGGAGGAGGAAGAGGTAGGAGGAGGAGGAGAAGGAGGAGGAGAAGGAGGAGGAGGGCAAGCACAAAGGTCAGAGGCCTCTTGGATGCCTCCCGGACTCTTTTCGGATGCCTCTTGAGAGCTTTTTGGGGTCCAAATTGGGGCGTCTTGGGTTCCTCTTATCGGTCCCGGGGGCCTCTTGGAGCGTCTTGGGTGCCTCGGGTAAACTTTGGGTGTTTCTTGTGAGCCTCTTGGGGACCTATTTGGGGCCTCGAGGTTCCCTCTTGTGGCCCGCTTGGGAGTCTCCTGGGGTCCTTAGGGAGCCTCGCGGGCTCTCTTGGGGTCATCTTGGTGGTGCCCGATGAAACAAATGGAGGGGAATCAATCAGCCTTCCCCTCTGCAGCTCCAAAAACTCGTCTTGGGATTCTCTGGGGACGTTCTCGGGCAGCTCGGCGCGGCCGGTCCGCTTTGCTTCCGACCTGCGTGCCCATGCAGGCCGATCCGACGCACATTCCGGTTCGATCCGCCTCGATCCC